TTTCTGTGTGAATGTAGTCTTACCTCCTTATAATTATTGTCCAAGTGACAGAATATTACATTGCTAAATAAAAAATAAAAATACCAGTTAGACCTTTTGCAAAGTTAATTTATTTACACATCTATAAACAGACCATATCAAAAACTAATAGCTAATAGTTATACAACAGCTAAATTTAAAAAATAAAAAAAATGGAGTGCAGAAAAGATAATGTTCTCCAAGATACAGCTCAAACCACGGCCTTGATTTTTACCTTTCCTGAAATGAATTTTAAGTTAAAATACACAAAAAATTAAACATAATAATGGCCTTCCTGATATATCGCGAATGCAATCGATAATAAAAAAATACGGAGGTTATTTTATGATTACCTTGAATCCAGAATGTCTGGTTTGTTAGGTTTTTAAAAGGTTGCAATTGTGCAGCCATAAGCTATTTACTTTTAATCTTTTAAAAAGCTTTACGGGTTTTTTTCTGCTGGTTTAACGGACCTTGTAGGTCTTTTGACGCCTTAGACCAACCTTCCCCAACACTCCTCACCTTGGGCTACTGCTTTCCAGTTTTCTCCATCTGCAGTATCTTCGGTGATTAAATCTGTACATCTGGTTCCTGAATTTTTACGTGGTTCTTGCCGACTGTAGAAGGATTCACTAGTTTTTAAAGGCTTTCTCATGGATCTCTCGCTGTAATGGGAGCTCTCGTCCATTTTAACCTGCCTTCATATTATATCATCAGATATTGATTTGACCAGCTTCAGTATGTTCTTTGCCAATCCTCCTGAATGAATCAGTACTCTCATACTTTACGGCTAAGCAATTAAAATATACTTTTACTTTAAGCCAGAGATCCCCAAATTACGGTTCGTGGGCCTGCAAGTATGGGCCGCAAGTATCTTCAATCCGGCCCGCGAAAGTTAATCCGGCCTTTAATTACATAGTAAAATTAAAAAAAAAAATATTATTGATTTATTAGAAAAAATATATAACTTTGGCAAGCTTGAAATTCGCCTTATGCAAAGTTTTGCAATAAGCAAATCAGTGATCATTTTATATATGAAGGGATTAAGTTAGGTTAGTAAATCTCTTGAGGGTAGAAATAACTGTTTGGGCTAGTGGGTTCATGTTGTAAGTCAGCCTCTGGTGGAACTTGATGTTGTTGTTTGTTGGAGTTTTTAGACGTAAAACACCGAGGTAATCAAGGCCTGCGTTTAATGTTGTTTATCGCTGAACTAGATTTAAATTTCAGCTTTTAAATTTTTTTTAACAAATTGGTTAATTAAAAAAAAAAATCAATACTAATTCTACTGTGTCTTCGTTATTTTTAAGGATGTTTGATATTGGGGTTGTGAGTCCGGAACTAGTTAAATTCGAGATATAAAAAGAACATTCTTGAAAAATGTGGCTAACTGTAAGTGCCTTCTCTGCAAAGTTTGATGTTGACCATTTTTTTGATGTTACTGTTTTTTTTTAGTATCTTTTAGTTTGCTTGACGGGCTCTCCACACAGATTGCCAGGTACAATATATTTATTTTTTGAAGGAAAGACTTAAATCTTGTGGTGTTAGAATAGTAGTGCTTGGCCGCTATATCTGCGAGCTCATTACCAATGATTCCTATGTGACTCAGCACTTAGACAAGATATACCACTTTTCCCAATGTTTCGAGCATGTTTAGATATGTATTAACTTTTAATATAGTTGCGTATTTCGGATATATTCTATTCATGCCCTTTAGGATCTTAATGAAACCGTTATTATTGCACTGGTTTGACATAGGTCTTGAAAGATTGTTGAGATAGAGAAGTGGAGGGCTGAAGCATGGAGTTCAGCTGTGTATATAGACTACATAATCTGTGAAGTTTTATTTTTTGGATAGAACTATAACAAAAGAAGGAGCTGTAGATTTGTCAGATTTGGACCTATCAGTAAAGATTAAAAAAGTTTATTGTAATTTTTGAACGAGATGTGAAAATTTGGTTTTGTACTCAGTAGGTGAAACCTTCCAGCGAAGGCTCTCCTAACATGATGTATTTAATGTAGCAGATCCCTGCTCCAGAGACGTTTGAGTCTTCTTGTTGGATTCTGTGGTAATGCGTCTGTTAGTAATGTTTGTGCAAGGAGATTATGATATCCAATAGGGAGTCGTGAAAATTTTCGTAAAACTTCTTTATTACATTACTCACTTGTGGTATTTTTAGGTCTTTATGAAGCGATTTATTGGTTACGTAGAAGGGACAATTTGGTGTAAAATGGCTTAAAATAAATAAATTGGAAACTAAATATTACGTGCCGAAGTGGAGGAGAGAAATATTAAGCAAAAAGTACACTTTAATTAGATCTCTATAAGTTCATTAAATTAGAGCGCTCAGAAAAAAAACCAGTTTTATTTGTATTATTTATTATTATAATAATTTTTATTTCTCAAAAATAAGAAACTTACAGTAATTTAGAAGTTTACAATTAATTTGTAATCTATAGTGCATATATATAATAGCTTAAACAAATATGAAAAAAAATCCATATTTTAAATTAATTGGTGGTATGTCATTGGTAAATAAATATCTTTGTTAGACGAATGATAATTGATCCACTTATATGTTAATCGAAGGAATTGCCTCACTATCGGGCACACTAGAGAATTAGGTTTTTTAGTGTTTCAATTGTAACGGATCCATAATGAGGGACTATCTTAATCCAATCTGCCTCAATCGCTAGCGAAATTAATCCATTTGTGAGTCAATCTCGCTCGAAATGTCACCCGATTCGTCCAAATGCCAGGGTATCGGGGACGAATTCAAGAACGTTTCTTTTATTATTAAGCATTGGATCGATTGAGTCGAACAACAGAGCCTAATGGGATGGCACTGACCTGATTGAGGCAGCAGTGGCGGCGCTGAGGTCACGGGCAAGGTGTCGCTGTATATGACAATAAATCAAAACCTTTCTCTTAACAAGATTTATTTTATAGTTAAATTTAAATACAAGATAAAATATAAAAAATATTAGGTTCTTAAATAAGAAGTGATGTAGCGATGTGGCGTATTATTTTTATATTCTGCAGTTTGTAAATAGTAATTTGTAAATCAGCCATAGACCATTCAGGATAGGTATGACCATCGATATTTTCCTTCTGATATTGAATATTTTATCATCCGATATTGAATATTGTATCTATTAAGTTAGCAAATAAGGCCTTTCGGTTTTTTTCCATATTTTCATGTCACTATGATACACTTCTTATCTGATGAATTAATCCCTAAAGTGGATTGTTTATCCTGTTTGTAATACGTCAACAACTATTTCTTTTAACTCTTGTTGAAACTAGCTTAGCATTGCACTATGAATATGGAAGAAAATATTCATTATCGGCATATTTTGTTGTATTATTTTTAAAAAAGGTCATAGAAAAATTTGCAGTGTTTATAGGGATGATGACGTAACCGAATGCACCAGCAAAAATTTGTTTGCCAAATTTCATTCAGGAATTTTGACATCAATGATGCTTAACGGTCTAGTCGCCCACATGAATTCTGGGCGGGGTGGCCGAACGGGCTAACGTGTGTGCACCGTCCTTTAAAAGTCAAGATTTCGGGTCCCGCTGTGGGGGGAATCTTTTAAATCCCCGCCTACACCCCCTGGTCCGGGAAAACCCCGTAAAACCTTAAAGGCGAGTAAGGGGAGGACCAAAAAAAACAAAAGAAAATAAAGGCCGTTGTTGATCAAAATCTTACCCAATCAGTGCGAGAGATTGCCATGTAAATGTGTCACACACAAACATAGACAACATTTGCACAAGCTCGGCTATGTTTCCAGGCCTAATGTTTGGGTCCCTCACTCTCTGACCGAAGTCAACTTGGTAACACGCATGTATGTTTGTGATTCACTACTGAAACGGCAAAAAACGACCCATTTTTTAAAAGGTTGGTAACAGGAGATGAAAAATGGATATTTTACGATAATGTAGTCTGTAGAAAATCTTGGGGACCTAGCAGTGAAGCTCCTAGAAGAATGTCAAAACCCGCATTTCATCCAAAAAAGATAATGCTTTTCATATGGTAGGATTTCAAGTTTGCGAGTTTGTTATTTTCTATCGGTTTCTATGTTATTTTTTTATATTTCTAAACACACTCAATTTTCAACTTTGTCCAATCTTCCCGTTCAAGGTGTCATTCAATTTAACTTCTCCATCCTAACAAATGTTGTGTTTATTTTAGGATTAACCAAACGGGTTAGCCGGAAACCGGGAAGGGTGGGAAACTCCCAACATTTTCAGCCTGCACACCACAATATTCAGAACAAGTTCTAACTTTACACGGATTTAGTTGACTCAATGTCAATGTTATTTTGGTTATTTTGCGAGCTTAAAGTTTCTTAGTTTAAAGAAGTGGAGAGATTACAATCTTTTTGATTATTTCAATAGACTCCACAATCTCCTCGCTTCATCATAAATAAAAATTAAACATTAAATATTTTATGAAACATAAATAATGTTAATGGTAAAATAAGTCCCCATTTTCCTATTATTAGACAAAAAACTACGGATAACAATAATTACGCAGTTAATTCATTCAATAAAAATAATAGCGATTAAAATGAGAAAAATTATAGTTATTTTCAATAAAAATTGTATTTCTAAAAGCATTTTTTAACAGCAGTTATTTTATATATTTTCTTCCAGAGAAATTACCGTTATAATATAAATTAGTAAATACACTATTCCTTAATAAATTGTTAATAAGGAAGTTCTATAGTGGGAATACGCAGGTTTTTCAAAAATGCAGGAAAAAGGATTGTGTGGTGGGAGCAATAACTGACGTCATAAAAAACGGCAACGTTCGGCTGCTTTCGAGATTCTATGAGCAAGTGTGACCGAAGTGAATGTGAACCACTCGTAATCCGTGCGGAACTCAAGTGAACTAGTACCATTTTTTCAACAATCACCTTTAAGGGATATCAATAGTTGATCCTAGCGTTATTGGCAACAGGGTAATAGTAAAGCCTTGATGAGGGACTATCGGCAAGGAAAACTGGTTTGGGCAGGCAAGGGCACGGAGCAAGGACCGCTGTCGGCCGCCGCTCAAGAGTGGCCTGGCTTCGTCTGCTGGGTCCGCTAGCGGGAGGAGTCGTGGCGCGGGGGAGGGGCAAGGAGTGCAATCCTATAGGATCAGCAAGGCACGAGTTTTCTGTTCGTAATGGTAGTGAATATGGAAAAAACAATCATCATCGCTTTGAATTTTGATTTGATCATTCGAGCTTTTTGGATCTCGGTGAAGATTGAATCTTCTAGAGTATGAATTGGAGCTTCGTTTCAGGATTATAAGTAAAAAAACACGATTCGTCAATTTGTATTAGAAAGAGACAAGATTTGAGTACATTGAGGCTGTGAAAGAGTGAAAAAGCGGCATGCGTCTTGAAGGAGCTGACAGAAGACTTCCAGCATTGTTCCAGACAATGGAAGATTCACATAAAGCGTAGTAGGGTAGAGGAGGAGTGTATATCTCCGCTCGCTCAAAATTTAAGCAATCCAGTAATGGGCCTTGACCAATGAAAATGGGGCCATAACCAATCAGGCGTCCATGTCAGTAGAGCTATGAAAAATATTCCTGAATCTCAACATAAATGGTTTATCTCTCGTCCTTATTTACGCTTCCGGTACTTTTATTCAAACTTCATCAAATAACCGTTACAGATGACGCCACTATACATCTCTTCTCTCCCTCCTCCCTGGCTACCATACTCACTTCTCTGTTAACACTTTTTGGAGACAGGTTTGCTTTCTGTTTTCTCTTTCACATTTCAGCCTTCTCGGTTTCTTTCCTCCTTACTTTCATTTCTTTTCTCTGTTTTAACTTTTTATTATATTATACGTTGGCTGTACATCTTGATAGACCTTACAATATCTCAACTGTCCATCTAACTGTTCTATTCGCATTATCTTAATTTTACTATTTATTTTCATTTCTTATATAACTTCATATTCCTTTTTTCCGTTTTACATTTTATTCTAAGATTCCCATTTTAATACTTGTCACCTTTTTTTTATTATGTTTACTTCATCATTCCACACTTTGTAACGGTTATTATTATTTATCTCATAGTTATTACTATTGTAATTATTTTAACAACTGCATTTTACTTTTCTTTTTTTTTACCTACACTACTTATGTTTCTCATACCTTGCTATCTGGTTCTTTTCTTAGCCCTGATGAAGGCCTGAACTTCAGGTCGAAACGTCGGCAAATGTCAAAATAAATATTATCATTTATTTTTGTCTCCTTATTTGACTGATCACCCCGACTATTCTTCTCTTCATAAATGGTTTTAATAATACTCTCCAACATTGTGTAAACAAAAAAATTACACAAATGTATCTTTGAACGTTGGAGCTAACTAAATACATAGTAAATTTAAACAACCATTACTTATTTAATTATAACCATTCTTTGGATATTTATCAGGAGTGTTCACTAGATTCATCAGAAACTTAAATTTCTCAAACAGCTGTTGAGGAATAAAGTAAACCTACACCCATTTTAAAAATAGTTTTTTTTACTTATTTATTTATTGAGTATTACAACAATCTGTCCCATGGACACTAGTTATAGTGAGGTAGGATAACATTGACATTATATGTGCCCAAGATATGAAATAAATAGAAGCAAAATAACAATAAATAATAATCAAAAAGTATATACAATAAATAAAATAAAATAAAAATATTAAAACTAAGCAAAAAACATATGTATAACTATATACACTATTTACAATCAGGCGAGGGAATTCCAGGAGATCCCTGAGCTCCCTGGTGCTAAAGCCAGTGGGGTTTGAGCGAAAGCGCTAATAGTAAATTAATTAATTGTTTGTATTAACATCTGATGATTACTATATCAGAAAGTAAATGTATCATGGAAAAAAATTAATTCCATAAATATGAATTTGATTTAATATATTGTTAACAATAGAATGTTATGTTTATCTATATAAATAAAAACGTAAATGTCCGTTTGTTACAAACCTCCATTCTCCGAAATTTTATCACCGATTGCTTTGAAATTTTGACATGTCGTTTCTATCGCATTCAGGAATCTTTTTATATACAATTAATTACCATTCTGCCTTCTGTTTCGCAAAGGCGGCCGAAAACTTGTATCACAATAGACTGTAGGCGCCTAAACGGCTGTAACATTTTAATTAAACTTGGCTAAAGTCTTCTCCTTGAAGCACTATTAATTTATATATATAACATCCTTTCCCAACAGAGTATGAAAAAAAAGGTTAAATTCAAAAGGATGGATTCCGAACTATATTTGCGAATAACTCAAAAAGTACACTATTTTTTATTATACTGATGATTATTTGATTCCTGAATTCCCAGCAAATTAAATAAAATCACTACAATCGGACGATTTGGTGCAGAGATTTAATGTTTTAAAAATTTACTTCTTCTTTGGAGATTTAGAGAAGGATTGTTTCTCACATATTCAATTATATGTTGCGTATTCTAGAGCTGGAAAACCAAACAATCTCTATATCTATACAAAGAATGAAAAAAAATATTGCATATCCAGATGTATTGTGAAATAAAATATATTAGGAACATCAGCTTTTTTTTTTTTTTTTCTATTCTACCAGACTCGGTCACAGCAACGCGTGGCCGGGTACAGTTAGTAACTAATAAAAATTGAGACTAAATATATTAACATAAATTTGATTATTGGGTTATTTCTTCCTGATATTAAGATAATTTAGTAATTTAGCGCCATTTTCCTAGAAGGCATGCTAATACTCTTCAGAACAGGGATAAAAAAAAAATAAATAACCATAGTTAAGAATTTATTTGGAATGGCATGCCCAAGGTCTACAGAGAGGAAACTTATTCCTCGACACGTGAATGCTGTCAAGATAACCTGCTGTCCACATCTTAATTTTACTTAAGGAATACATAAACACGTCTGCTTAGTAGGATCTGTATAGCTTATCCAACAATTCCGTTGGTCACATAATTACTTATATTTCGAGATCTATGATTAATCGTTTCAGAATAAATCTACGGTATATCTACTATACACCTCTCTTTAATATAACCTAGTCAAGATCAGCAGCCACCTAACCGATGCTCCCGCCAGGTGGAACGTATGTTACTTTATCTAACACAAATGTTCCAGTTGAACATCGACATTATTATTATGTATTATAACATTAGTTCTGCAATAATATTACAGATTAGATTAGCCCCTATCATGTATTAGTAAGGAATAAAATTTAGAGCTAATAGCATCCGCAATCAGCTAATCACAGGGATTATTAAATTAGTCTTCTACCTCAAGGCTTGCCTTAAGCATAACTACTTTTGAATCTTCCGTGAGAAGCGAACGTAATGGCAGGGCAATCGACTGCAAGACGCACTTAACTAATAGGTTTTGCGTTTAAATAGACACATTAGCAGCTGCACAGTTCAAATAATGATTTAAGGAAAGCAATAGAATAATATTTAAATAAAAACTACTATGGAAATGATGTTTCAGGGTTATAAATAACATTTATTTTTATTTCTTTGACAGAAATTAGTCAACATCATGTAACACTATGAGGTCAGAAAAATATAAGATCATGTACAAATTCAAGGTAGCATCTAACACAGTCCATAAAAGTCTAGTAAAATATATATTATAAATAACTTCAAAACTCATATCAATGGAAACCTCATTACTCCACTAATCTATTCAAATCAATTTCGGTCTGCAATTCAAAACCAATCCAAAACATGCATTAAGCAAACTATTTTTCTAGACAGAGGTAAAAGAATATAATAATAATAAGGCTTAAACAGTATGCAGAATTCGAAAATAATTAAAGTAAACTATCACAGTAACTACAAAATAAACTATAGGATCTACATTTATGGCTGTATTCTTTGAATGTCCCATGGATCAAAGATTATTCTGATGGTAAATTAACCCAAAATTTTAACAACTTAATTAATATTGTTGAGTAAAATAGAAAGACTTACCTTTACGTTGATATGATAGTTCCTTGGGTCTCGAGAAGTCAATAGGTCCTAAAAAGGAAAAAAAAATATTGAAAGGATTTTTTTTTTTATTTATGAATAATTATAACTAACTTGGAACAAATATCAATAAAATTTTAACTGGAAAATGCATTGCTTAAATTTTAAACTACTGTTAGTACTAAAAAGAATATTTGAAATTCATACCAAACTAACGAACTCATGTTGCGTCATATAAGAGAGAACTGTATGAAGAAAATCTTTGTTCCAGGCATATGTCTTTAAAGAATAACGTTAATTTAAGAACAAAGAAACAGGTGACTTCTATTAAAAGGATATTTTACCTGAAATATCCTTATACTTTAGAATCCATGAAAAGTATATATATATATATCGGGGGCGACCTTCGGGAGGTAGACCCTCCTGAGGCACACCCAGCCTCTATAAAGTGGGTACCCTTAATTAAAATAATTGATTAAGGGGAAAAACCTCACGGTTGAGCCTGATCTCGGTCAAATCAACCCCTTGCACAACGGTAGACCAAGGAACAATGCTTTCCCTAAATAGTACTGAACCCAAGACCCTTCATGGGTTGTAGTGGTACAGGTTTTTTTTTATTTTTAATCGTAACTAAATTTATAAAGAAACAGATGAATTCTAGTGAAATAACACTTAACGAGAAAGCTCTAAAATTGTAAAAGTACTATTTTAATATAAATTAAAATATACATACATACAAACACATATTTATTTATATATACATAAAGTTTCAATCTCATTAATAATTAATCAATGATGTTTCTCTTATTCAATTATTTTTATTGTTTTAATATTAAATTATTTCTATTTTATATCAATTATTTTTTAGTTTTATTATTAATCGCAATTCAGTAAGTGACCACAATACTATTTATTTAAATAATCTACTTTATATTATTAGAATAAGCAATAGTGTGTAAGCTACACAATACCCTTTATTATATTGTGGAATGCATAAGAATTTTCTAGATTTCCGGGAAACATGGAAAGTGTAAGTGCACGATCAAAGTTATAAAACTCAGTTACTTTATACCGTTATTACAAATGGTTTTCCTGAAACGTGTGAACTGTAATAACCAGGAAACTTTATGATAACCTCATGATGTTCATGATCTGTTATATTGTTATTGTATTTCAAAGATTATTTATTAGAGCCTTACAGATGATTGGCTCTAACAGCTACCTCCACTTCCGCCAGACATGACATTATTGTTTTTCTATTCGTGGTAATTGGCATGGCAGTTGAAAGATTTCTTGATGGATTAAGCAGCGTCTCATAACCAACTCAAGATGCTAGTTTGAGATAAGATTTAAAAGATCCCTCATTTGTCTATTTTAACTCCATGTTGCCACTATCATTTATGCCATTATAAATGCCATTATAAATTTATACACTGCATTCTGCTTTCTTGATATTTCTGTCCCTAAACCAGAAGTTCCATTTCGATGGTACAAATAATGGTGAAGGTGTATCAGATTAGGAAGCAAACAGATTTAATTGGCCTACGAGAACCTTGAGATCTTACGATAATGAAAGAATTCAGTTTTTAAATCCATGCAACCCAATTATCCTGATTGGGGAAAAAACAACAAGGTTTGATAAATGAAAAAATAAAAACTGACGCGTGAGAAAACTTACACATACATTACACAAATTAAAAAATTAAACTGTATAACTTATGAGATTCTTATAAGTATTCTATTAATCAAATAATAAAGAAAAAAATTAATTTTATCAAATAAGAATTATTACGAAATATATTCTAAACTGCATCTCACAAATTTTTTTAAGTTAAAAAAAAACCGATTCCGTTACATAACGGATCTGAAATGCAATAACCACCTTGGGTTTTATAGCCACCTAACATTTACCACGATTATATATATCTCCATAACAGAACAAATTATACTACCTCTTCTGACTATAAGGAGTGGTTGAAAACGTTTTGGAACATTTTTGAATTTATAAAGATGAGTCCAAGTCATAAACGTCATTATAGAAACTTGAACGGCTATGTTTGTAGTAACCCGTGATTCCACACATAAACTTAAACTACATAAATTATGTTCTTTGCTATTTACGCTGGCAAACAGTATGCAACAACCTCAGCCCTTCAATTCTGAATATATAAGTCACAAAACTAATGTCTTAATCTTGGAATCATTAACAATGGTATAAATCCATTATATATACATATATATGGTATAAATCCATATAAATATAAAACCATTGGATAATTTGGATTCCGTGCAACGCTGGTATTGTAGGCAACCAACCGGGCAACCATCAAGCAGCCAGAGAGGCACTCAGGACCCCTTGCAGCGGTACCACCATTCCCACTCTGAAGACCTCTCAAAGTACATATATCACATAGGTAATAATCTAGTAAATTAAAACAAATCATAAAGACAGTATATATTGTGTAAATGATATGTAATTATAATAGTATTACATTATGTAAATCTTGGGCTACATCCAACCACAGCAGTTGCAGAAAGGAAGCGAGGAAATGCCCGCACCTTATTAGAAAACTTCCACCACCTTCATGTAAATTTTTCAAATCCAATCGTTCGATGAAACGTATTTTTGCGTACACACTAAATCACAAAAATCAATGGAATAGGACTGACAACCAAATTTGTCTATGTGTCTTAATTACAACGAAGCTCCGGTCACATTGGTTTTTAATTTTTTAAAAGAAACTTTCCGCTCCTCAAAACTATTGCACTTTCTACTAATTATCTCTAAAGATCTAAGCATGTTTTTATCTATCTTTACTCTATATTTATGTAGATATGATTTTTTTTCCAAACTTTTATAATTTTATTATAACAAAACGTTCGACAACATAGGCCGTTGATAACCTTACGGTTATACGCATGTAAGCCAAAACAAACTTAAAAGGTTCTTTGAAGACTTTAGAACTTACAGGTGATTGCTCCTGAAGAGAGACAAACAATGAAGCCGAAAACACAAAAATGACACAGTTCAATCTATCTTGAAACTTGTGTTTTTTTATAAGAATGCAAAACTTTTATTGAAATAGAATTGAATAGTCGGTTCGGCTGTTTATAAATGGAACTAGACTTAAAATGTTTTTTCCAAACAAGTTTAATTTATATGTATATATACAGTTCCAATCACATTAATGAGTCATCAATTGATGTTTTTCTTAAATTATTTTTTAGTTTTATTATAACACACACACACATGTGTGTATATATATATACCCCTCAAAATTATTGCACTTTCTACTAATTATTTCTAAAGATCTAAGCATGTTTTTTATCTATCTTTACTCTACATTTATGTAGTTATGATATTTTTTTTCAAACTTTTATAACAAAATATAATTATAACAAAACGTTCTACAACATAAGGTGTTGATGACCTTACGGTTATACGCCTGTAAGCCAAAACAAACAAACAAACTTAAAAGGTTCTTTGAAAACTTTAGAACTTACAGGTGATTGCTCCTGAAGAGAGACGAACGATGAAGCAGAAAATACAAAAAAGGCAGTTCAATCTATCTTGAAACTTGTGTTTTTTATAGGAATGCAAAACTTTTATTCAAATAAAATTGAATAGGAGGTTCGGCTGTTTATAAATGGAACTAGACTTAAAATATTTTTTCCAAACAAGTTTAATTTATCTGTAGTGATTATAAGAGGTTTAATTCAATGATATATTTACACTCAAGGCGAAAGTATAATAATTGTGTTTAACTATAAAATATTTGAACTTTAAAAACATCAAAATCTATTACTTTTTCTTATAAATTTTATCAAAGAAAATTGATGGTACCTGCTTTGCGTTTCTAGGTTTACACTGTACGAAGATCAGTATTATGGTTAAAAGTAATAAAAATAACCAACATACTCCCCCGATGTTTCACTATCGGATATCTATTTGTTCGGTGCGTTTCAACACTTTCTAAGAGGCAAAAGATTTGCAATTTTGAATGTTGTCAAAAATATCATCTCTATCAAAAACGTGACTCGCTTTAAAAAACACAAATCTTAAATTTCCTAATTTTCTATTGGAAATAGTGAAATTACATAAATATATATATATATATATATATATATATATATATATATATATATATATATATATATATATATATATATATAACAAAAACAGGAAACGGCAAATAACAATTTATGTCTGAGATCAAGAAAAAAATCACTATGGCATCAATTTAATAATATATTACCCACCGCCTGAGAACTGCCAACAATATCCTAATTGGATGCATTCACTTATGATTTAATCGTTTAAGACAGGCTTAGGTAGCAATTTTAGGTTACAGTGCGGTTTTAAACTATGTAACTGCATATAATTAGTTGAGCAACTCCTTTGTGTGAAATTCTCATTGAAAACACAATCGGCAAGAAATTATTAAGATTCTCTAGCTTAAAAATACAAACAAACTTAAAACAAAAAATCTGGTGCGCGCAACACACAACTGTCATTTGCCGCTCTACTTTGAATAGATATTATTTTATTGATTCCAGAGTAGGTGATTGCAGTGTTGAAATATAGAACTGTGAAAAAATTTTACCTCTAGAAATATCACTAAAATTAATAATGAAGAATGTTGAAATAGGAGTAAGTCATGTCTGCAGTTATTAAACTACAGTAGATGTTTGTAAGGTTATAAACATATCCATGAAATATTTTTATATTTCACTTCTTCTTTCACACAAGTACAATGATATAGTATTTTAAACAATGGCATTGGCTTGAATCGGTGGATTTTAAATACTTCTTACTTTACTTGGGAGAAAATGTAAAAATTTACATTTAGTAAGAAAATTTCATTTAATTTCCTTTGAAACATGTGATTTACGTTAAATAATGTTAGTTTTCTGAATTTATTATTTTTATTTGTTTCGTCACTCTTCGTTACATCCTATAACTTTATTTATTTGATATTATTTTTTTCTAAAGTTCTCCGCTCTTTAACGATATATTATACGTATATATTCGGACTGTTATTTCCGGAGATTAATTTTCAACCTGGATAAGCATTTTCCTTTTTTTTTCCAGTTTCCAATTATTATTAGGCATTTAAGCTCTGTAAAGTGGCATCAATGGGAATAAGACTCAAAAAATATTAAAGATCAGTTAATTATACAATGATACATCCAGTTTAATCAAAATCCTTAGAGCCGTTTTGAGAAAAATGTAAAAATGTGTTTCACCGTTGATATAAAGTGCCACTTCCGGTTAGCCAATTTTCACAAAAAAGTTGATGCTACATGAGAACCATATAAAAAACCTGATAACGCAATATAAGATTCGTAAGACTTTTTGTTTTTGAGCTAGGCTCTTCACATACACATAGACCATTTTGCGGGATTTGGTTATTTGGAATCAAGAGACCTCAAACCTTGTATTTCCGTTGAAAACTCAACATTCGAAAATTTTCACGATCGCAATACTTTCCATTACTATATATTACATATATAGGTAGGTGAAACTAAATCAACTTTAAATATTTCCGTTAAAAAAAAAAATAAAAAAAAAACAGATTAATTTCCTGGAAACTGGTCAGAGAAATAATAACAATACGATCGCTTTGATGAAATAAAGCAATGTAAACGGGCACGTGAACCAACATAAAAATCGGTGGATAAAATTCAATATACTGTAACTATGCTAAAATTTGTCCTATTTAGACAATTTTTTTTTTTTTTTAGATCTGTCGAAACTTTAATAACCTAGTAGTAGGACTCGTTCAGTTCTTTTAAACTTATTACAAAATTTGGCGTATCTCCACGTTTAGTTATAAACAGTTATTTATAACGTAAGTGCATCAGTGATGGACATAGCTAAGAAAATTTTTGTATTTTTGGGCTTATGCCGCCATAATTATTGTAGTTATAAACCACTCTGTTTGACGTTTAGAATCTCTAGGGTCTTCTTTTTCTATTTAACACTAAATTGAAAAAAATATATTCAGTTATGCAGGTACATTCAGTTTCTATTAAAAAAAATATATCCTTTATGGATTAGTGATGGATACTCCGAAAATCAATTGTTCTAGTAATGGACAGGGGGTCGGTACCAGTAATGGACATATCTCAGAAAAATTGTAAAATCTTTGCTTAGCTATAAAGTTAAGATAAATGATCAACTTACTCTTACCAAAACTGTTAGTAGAAAGATATGAAACACACTAATCTCAAGAGCACTATACAAACAACAATGATAGGAATTTTTCTTTTGGACACTTTATTCATACAGTTTCAATAGAGGACATTATTTTTCAATCTAGAAAAAAATGGAACCTTTAAATCAACAAGAAAGCTTATTATTTACATTTCAGATCCAACCTGTCCATCACTGGAATACCTGTCTATAACTGGTGCGTTCACCCTACCGATTCCTTAAATAGCTATCGATTATTGGTATATGCATAAAAAAGGGATATGACCAAAAGAATCATCACTACGTTTTAAGGTTTCACTTCTTATGAATTCGATCTACAGCGAATCCTATGGATTGGACACTATTACAACATAATAGATCGGTATAAGAGACCAAGTAACAGCTCAAGGCAGCTCAAACCCTCGACCTCGATGTCTTCGACATGGCAGGCACCAGGACAATCAGAAGAACCTCATTTGAGATATGGAACAGTGAGGTAAGGCGACCTCATCAGCGAAGGTCCCATCCTTTCTCCAATGTAAGAGGTCTTCAACCTCTCCTCGGACCTATGAAGATATGATGCCCACGAAAAGGCAAACAAAATGTGAATAAATGTATAAAAATAAAAATTTTATAAACAAAGAACATTTATTTTTAATTCGAGAAAAAAAATTGGCCAATTTTCACAAACCGTGAATCAACTTTACTATTTTACCTTATGGCTTCATATGTTTTATTTTTTTTATTTTACTATATTTATTTCAAATGGGTTTATTTAGAAAGTTTCATGATTATAATATCATCAATCTTTTAAACTATTGCTTTAAATATATTCCAACGTATTTCAAATTTTAATGAGCTTACTTTACGAATATCAGAGATGCTGTCAGATTTTTTTATGACAGAAATTTATTATGTAAATACAAGACTAACAATTATTCCAGAAACTTAATTTTAAAATTGTGATCATCATAGAAAAAAAATATTTTCATTTAAGATTATTTTCCAAACTATTTCCTTCTAGCCATTATTCGATTATACCATGCTCTTTTAACTCATTATAATCGTTTGCGAACTCTAAACAAGTCATAATCCAGCTGAAATCACAGATCGGAGATAACGAATCGATGATTCATCATAATTGTAGTGCTGTTCAGTTCCGAGCAGAATATGTAATATCCAATACTAGTGGATTCAAAAACAGGAAGGATATTCAAGCGGAAGTTCTACCCTATAAAGAAAAAAATTATATATATATAATTTATATATACTTATATAAAGTATAATTTATATATATATATATATATATATATATATATATATATATATATATATATATATATATATATATATATAATTTATTTTTCATTGGTCAATATTAGTCTGTATGAGTGATCTGGTCCAAATAGTTACATAAACAATCACAATTTTTTTTTTTTTTTATATAACGCTTGTACTTCGGTTATCAAATGCAAGCACGCCACCGCTATTTAAAAATAAATAAACAAGCAAATAATGAAAAAAGTTTAACCAATCCCCAAAATTTAATCCTTACTAATAAAAAGATAACCAGTACTAATACGGCAGGTAATATGCAATCACAGTTGAATCACAAACTTACAAGAACTCGAATCTGCACTAGATTTACGATAGCATCTTTGAAAAACGGTAGTACAAAATTCAAAAGTAAATCATCCGACATTTACAGGACACTAGTGAGCCCCCTCACTAGAATAAGACACACCATAACTACACTAACCACAGTACTTTCGTAAAGTAATAGTAATAAAAGGAACGGGCATAATAATCTCGTAATTTATCGTCCTAAAGCCCCTACCCTATATACTGACACAGTACTCTCAATTCTCCATTCCTCTCTTAAAATCCACCCTGTGCAGTAAAATAGGTCATGTTTAAGCCTCCTACCTTAAGTTCTCAACACCTCCTTCTATCGGGATAAAAAAAAAAAAAAAGACGTAAACAACTCAAGCTCAATAACTCAAACCTGTGTTGAGACCCATCACCGATTATATTTCAGATTTAGGAAAAATTCACAGAAATGATAAAAAGAAGCCAAATACACCTTACAATGCTTTTGAGCAGTAAAAGGTTTAATAAGACGACGAAAAATCCAAGCATTAGAATCAATAATATTTAAAAAGGGCCTATGGAGAAAAAAATAACGGAAATGTGCTATAAAAATCGGAAAAACTCGCTTTAGACACGAAAAATTTAACATTAACCTATATGGGATTGTTGTGCCTATTAAACAACCCAATCTGGGTCTGAACTAAATCTTTGTCGTTGGAAGTTCCGAAATATTATGAAATAAACAATATACATGAGCGTATTTCAGACTTCTCCAAAGCCCATAATCGTGTTCTGAAGATTAAAAAGTGGATAAAATGCATCTCAACTCCCAACGATGACCTTCGATACATTGCAAAAGTTCTCGTAAACCTAAAAATTAAATTATCTTTAGCAGAAAGGTGCTCAATACACCTTTCTCACACAGACCGTTTCCTCCAATTCTAGAAGTACAGCAATTGCAAACAGAGTCTTCTACCGATTCCTAAAATACATAAATTCGAAGAATAATGAATAAAGAATATCTTTATAGAGATGGGACAAAAACTCAAGATGGAGTCGGTGCGGCCACTATTTCTGACAAAGTACAAATGTTCTCATTACCCAGTGTGGTCTAGACCTCAGTTCAGAGCGTATGATAAAAGTTCAGTCAGTTTATAGTTAGTGATTTTCGCAGTTTTTAGAAGGAGTTCGGTCATAATTTTTGGTTAGAACCAACTATTAATCGTGTTATATCCACAGACAGGAAAGATTCTTCAATACAACGCCGTTTCACGTCAGAAGAAGAAAGGAAAAATCATAATTTTAGTCGGCTTAAGGTATTTATTGCAGGCATTCTAGATAAGAATATAGGTGGGGAGCGCATGCGCATAAATAGGACTAGGTACTAGATATCTCAGTGTTTCCAGTGACGAGGTTGGGGTAACGTCAATTTTTTTACCACGTTACTTACGTAATTTTTTTTTTTCTCTTTCTTCTTTTCTCTCGCTTATCAAGATGGTTTTATGCCCAATCTGTAAACAGACCATAGCAAGAGAAGAAAAAAAAACAATGGCATGCACTGTCACAACATGTCAAGCCATTTTCCATGGAAAATGTCTAAACGCAGACGAGAGTGAGTTTGAAGCACTGAGGGCATTACGAAAAAATTGGGTATGCCCGAAATGTGAAAAGGTACGGAAAAATATCCAACCGACAGACAAGTGTCTCAGCCCGCCAAGATCGGCGCCACAACAACAAACTGTCGACAGCACGTCACAATTGTTACTTGCTGCCATTAAAAATTTAACAGAAGAGGTCAAGGGATTAAAATTCTCCCTCGATGCCAATGCTAACGAGGTGAAAGAATTAAAAATATCTCTCGAAAAGCAAGCATCCATAACTTTTGAGAATGCGGCGAAATTAGACTCTATAGAGTCACTACTGGAGGCTCAAAATTCCAAGATTGACGGACTGGTCTTGGAAAACACGACTCTCAAGTCTCGGGTCTCGGAGCTCGAAATCAGGCTCAATAAAAGTGAGCAAATGCACCTTTCCAGGTCAATAGAAATAAGAGGAGTCCCAGCGAGATCTGGAGAGACCCCGATGGGCCTGGTTATGAGCGTGGGGGCGGGCCTGGGCCTTAGTCTAAAGGTGGAGGACATTGACTATGCAGAACGGATAAGAAACAGGCAAGACGATACACCTGGGCCGCTTGTGGTAAGGTTCGTCCGGCAGTCGCTTAGGGATGAGTTGATCCAGAGGCGAAAAGTCATTAGGGATTTTTCAACACGTCACCTCGGATGGCAAGAAAATGACGCCCACAAGATCTACCTGAGCGAAGCTATGTCCGTAACCAACAGACACCTGTACTGGCTGGCCCGGCAAAAGAGGTCTGCAGGAAAAATCAGGTACAGTTGGTTTAGCGCAGGCAAGGTGAAATGTCGACGAGACGATGGACAGCAGGTCGTCGTCATCAACTCACCATCAGATTTAGAAACGTTCGCTTGACATGCATATACATGTTACATCACTTTGAACAATTTTGTTTTTACTTTTTTATATCCCCAGTTTTATGTTTTTGTTGCGTTTGTTTTAATAATAGACTATGATAATAATTTCATTTTTGTTTATGAGAATATTTTAGGTCTGATCTGTCCAGAAACTCTAATTTGTGTATTTTTTTTCTTTTGCACAATAGGAATATGCTTTTCGTTAACTAAATTTTATATTTTTTGTTTACCATCCTTATTAATATCTAGGAGATCTTGCACACAATTGGCTCTAGCTGCTGTAGAAATATTCCTATCCTTAACTCCTTCTGTCCGTTTACCAAGCCACCCCTCCTTCTTCAAGCCACCCCTCCTTCTTCCATGACTAATATCCTTCTAACCTGCCACGTCAACGCTCAGTCACTCTTAGCCCATTTTGATGAATTTTACGACTTTTTTCTCCATAACTTCTACCATTTAATTGCTGTATCCGAAACCTGGTTGAAACCCACAATCCCGTCCTCCCAGATCCTTCTACCTAACTATACTCTCCTTCGTCATGACAGAGTAGATCGCACGGGTGGTGGAGTAGGTCTCTTTGTCCATGACAGTCTCAAATCCAAAATCCTTCACTGCTCTTCCATAACCGATTCTCCGCACGTTGAATACCTTTTCGCCGAAATCCTCACCACCTCATCTGCCATTCTGTTTGCTGTCATATATCGCCCTCCTAGAATTCCTTTCGATGAATCACTTGAGACTTTATTGTACAACTTAATCCCTTCCTACTCAAACATCATCCTCTCCGGTGACTTTAACACCAATTTACTGGCACCATCCTCTGATTATTCCTACCTAACAAACCTCTTTAATTCTCTCAGCCTTTACATAGTACCCTACAATCCAACCCATCATACTCAGTATTCAGAGTCCTGGCTCGATCTAATTATCCTGGATTCCTCAGACAAACTCCTTGCCGCATCTCAGCACCCGGTTCCGTTTCTATCTTCCCACGATCTTGTCCAGATCTCTTACAATGTCCCTGTTCCATCCTTTTCTCCCCGAACAATATCCTTCCGAAACCTAGATTATCTCACTCACGAAACATTGTCAGAAGGTCTTGACGATATCCAGTGGGATCCCATCTACTCCTCAAAATCCATAGACACCATGGTAGAAATCCTAACCACTCAACTTCACTCTATCCTCGATCGACATGCTCCTCTTATCACAAAAACCATCCGATATCCTCCAGCTCCTTGGCTTACCCCTGCTTTGAGGGAGTGTATGAGAGAAAGAGATGCTGCAAGGCGACGGTTTAAACGAACTCGACTTCCGGAGGGTTTTCTCGCCTACAAACAGCTTCGAAATAGCACTCAATCAGCAGTACGCCGTGCTAAATCCCGTTACTACCATCATTCCCTATCCAACTCTCCCAATAC